AGAGGAGGCGGGGGGGGTGGGGGAAGGTGGTTGAGTCCATATGTCCCTCTTGATGGCACCGGGATGCGGGCTGTGGGAAGGAGCTGAGAGTGGCCGGTGGAGATTTCTGCCACCAGGTTTGGCTCTGCTTTCTAACCTGTCCTTCTCCTCAGTTCACAGTGATAAGATGCATTTCCTCTTCGTCCTGTCCAGCGTGGCCAAGAACGAGAAGATCCTGACAGCAGAGCTGCATCTCTTCCGCCTCTGGCCAAGGGCCACCGATGGGCCTAAAAGGCATCACTTCTGCCAGGTGAGGAGGGGGACGGGGACACAGGGATGGGCCGAGCCTATGCCTGGGGATGCCACTGGCTCTCTGCATTTGCTCATCTGCAGGCAGGAACACAGCCCAGTTCCGGTTCGTGTGCAGCCTCTTGGAGCAGCTTTCCTTCTGGCTCCGCAAAATTAATACAAAACGTCACCCCATTTCAGAAGCACTGCGTAAAGAATTGCAGTGATTTGACTACGGCATTTTCTTAAAAATGATTCCTTTGGGTGCATGCACCATCCCAGACTTTAGAGGTTTCTGACCACTCAGACTAGCAATTCCCCCTATCTCTCTCTTTTTCTTTTTTAATATCCATTTCAGTGGTATTTCCCCTCCAGCAGGCCCCTATAGTAACTGCCCTTTGCCTCCTTCCTCAGGTGAGCATCTACCAAGTTCTAGACAAGACCAAACCAGACTCCGCCGAAGGGAAGAAGCTGCTGGCAGCCAGACTCATCTCGCTGCAGGGCTCAGGCTGGGAGGTCTTTGCCATCACGCAAGCTGTGAGTGCTTTTACCCAAATTTGGGTAGTACAGAGAGAAAAACGCTCTTACCCTGCTGCCAGCTCTCACTGCGCTCTCCGATGCCGCTGCCATGAACATGCCTCATGCTGCAGCCTGGAAGCAGTGCCAGCAAATTCTCTGGCCCTGGGGTGTGCGAGCCTGGGGCCTGGCAGAGCCAGTCAGCCCTTCGCAGGGCTCCGGGCTGCGGGGGGGAATGGAGGGTGACAGCCTGGTGACCTGAACAGCAGCATCCTCTGTCCCCATTTTGAGTTGCTGCATTGCCCAAGGGGCAGTGACTAGGCTGGCCCGACTGGGGACGCCTGTCACCTGCTGTGGGGGCACCGCAGAGCAGTGCCCTCGTTTCTCCCGCGGTGACACTGGTTTTGTTCTCCAGGTTCGTGACTGGACAGAAGACGAAACCAGCAACCAGGGTTTGTTGGTCATGGTCCACAGCCTGGGCGGGGGCCCGCTTGACCCCCCTGTCGTGCAGTTTGCCTCTGGCCGGGACCACCACGAGAGCAAGAAGCCCATGCTGGTCCTGTTCACGGATGACGGGCGCCGGGGAGCGTCCCTGCCTACAGCCGGCTTCTCAGGTGTGCCCCGTGGCTTGGAGGGTGCCGCGGTTCCCCGGCTTGCAGGGTGCTCCGGCTGCTCCCTGCCGGCCTCGCTGTGGTGCGCTCCCGCGGAGAGCGGCACAGGGCCGAGGCGCC